CACTCTTGCATGACAATAGTTCCGTGAAAGTGTTATGTTCACAGCAGTGAAATATCAAGTGTTATGTTCACTGCAGTGAAATATCAAGTGTTATATTCACTACAATGAAAATTTCACTTTTCTAAACTTCGGAAAACTGAAGTAAATGATAAATACCTTTACCGCCATACAGCGGACATAAGCGGCGCAGTCGCCCCAGGGGCCACAATTCGCTGTGCAGAGTTGCGTCCCTTAGGCGTGCCAGAAACCTTTGATTGTGGATTCCTATCCCAAACTCTCCCTGATTATGTTTCTTGGTTTGTCAGCACTATGCCGGTGCTCGTGGGTTTAACCAAAGTGGTAAACGACGAAGACCTAAAAATCACTTTTGACTTTCCACCTATGGATGATATGTTAGAATATCAACAGTTGCCATAAGTGCAGGGCTATATATCGACAGTCGCAATACAGTGGACACTAATGTTAATCGTGTACTTTAGAACGTTGTGTGTCAATTGTGTTGCTTATTATATCATTATAGGGACATCGTGAAACTTTTTTTAACATCATATGTCCATTGTGCTGCTTCGTACAACATCATATGTCAATTGCGATGCTTCTGAGAACATTATATGTCCATTGTGCTGCTTCGTACAACATCAGATGTCAATTGTGGTGCTTGTGAGAACATTATATGTCAACTGTGCTGCTTCGTACTACATCAGATGTCAATTGTGGTGCTTCTGAGAACATTATATGTCCATTGTGCTGCTTCGTACAACATCAGATGTCAATTGTGGTGCTTCTGAGAACATTATATGTCCATTGTGCTGCCTCGTACAACATCAGATGTCAATTGTGCTGCCTTTTACAACATTATGTTTCATATTCAGCTGCTTCTTACAACATCAGATGTCAATAGTGTTACTTCGTATCCCATCACATGTAATTTCAGTTGCTTCTTACAACATGTGTCAATCTTGCTGCTTCTCATAGCATCTCCTGTGAATTGCGTTGCGTCTTACAACATCATATGTCGATCATGATGCTTCTTACCATATTGTATTTCTACGAATAGACCCGTGAAGATCCGGGGTAGAATAGGTCTTCATCACCCATGCTTGAAGTAAAAGACTATTGTTGTCGTAAAAGGCGACTAACGGGATCGGGTGGTCAGGCTCGCAGACTTGGTTGATGCATTTCATCGTATTCCAATTGCGCGGATCGATGCTCATGATGTCAGTCCCTGGATTGTCTGTTCCAGGCCTGATTATTTACAGACCGCCGTCATAAAGCTGGAATATTGCTGAATGCGGTGTTAAACAACAACAACAACAACAACAACAACAACAACAACAACAACGAATCGTTAGGAGTATTGCTGGGTTCGGCGTTCGGCAACAAACAAATACTTAACTTTTTTAGTTGTGGTGCTGTCAGTACATCAGGACATGCTTAACCCTTACATAAGCACCCGGTGTCATCACGGGTTAGCAGTGATCAATTTATATCATTATCATCACAATTTTGTCTTTTATGACGAAAGGAATCTGTTTTGGTAGATAATCGAGCAGATTTATATTCTCTGGCGCTGACATTTTGAATTGGATGTTGGTGGTATCTACAAGCATAGATGTGAAGCGAGAACAATACCAAATCTACTCTACTGTATAAACATTGCCTCCTACCTGTATATATATTTGTCAACCATACTCTGTACATCACTAGCTTGATAACGGTGTTAGAACCTACACCGAAACGTCGCTCTCAATTGTAATAAAGAAGTTGTTCATCCATATATCTTATCCTTACTTTGAACTCCCACTTCTAAATGCCTCTCAAAGAAAAAGAAAAACATTACATGTTTATTAACCCGAGGACGTTCGAGACGCCATACTTACAGGCGACTTCAAATATAAAGTCCCGCTTTTTCACTGTTTTTCTTTGCACTCAGTGATTAGATTGCCAGAATCGTCAGCAGCATCTGTAACCTGACGCTACGTATGTGACAGCTGTGCCCCGAAAGTATACAATGTACACGGACATGGTAAGCTATGATCACGACTGACTCATTCTAGGGTTCCCGGGGAATATAATCCCTTGGCAAAGGTCAATTATCAGAAGCAGACTCAGGAAGCATTTTGTTATGATCTTCTTAAGATCAATATGTCGATGTATTTAAATACCTGCTTCAACGGACGTCACGATCATGTGGATATTTCAAACTTCATGCTTACCTCTGAGTCATGATATTGACGTTAGGTGAAATGAGGTATATATAGCGACATACATGCACGTGTGTGTGCGTGTTTCTTGTGTGTGTGTGTGTGTGTGTGTGTGTGTGTGTGTGTGTGTGTGTGTGTGTGTGTGTGTGTGTGTGTGTGTGTGTGTTCTTGTGTGTGTGTGTGTTCTTGTGTGTGTGTGTGTTCTTGTGTGTTCTGGTAAGCGACGCTTTGATTGGTTGGATGAAAGGTCGTTCTGACATGACCCATAATGGGATAACCTCAGATCTTTGTTTAGCGATTGCAAGAACTCAGATCTGATTTTAATGAGATTGGTGAATTCTCAAGTGACACTTTTACAGTTTAACAGCCTCGTAATTAAATTGTTACATTCCAGATGGATGGCTTGTCCTCAATCCAAATATACCTCTCGTTGTATTCACTCTATTTTGATTGATATTTTTCTATATTGTGTTATTATAACTGACGCACTCAATAGGTTAGGTGAGATTGGGTTTAACGTTATATAGCGACGCGCATGCACGTGTTTGTTTTGTGTGTGTGTGTGTGTGTGTGTGTGTGTGTGTGTGTGTGTGTGTGTGTGTGTGTGTGTGTGTGTGTGTGTGTGTGTGTGTGTGTGTGTGTGTGTGTGTGTTTGTGTGTGTGTGTGTGTGTGTTTGTGTGTGTGTGTGTATGTGTGTGCTTCATCTCATTGACAGGCTTATGCCGGTTTCATAGTGCTAGCCCCCTGAGATACCATGCCGCAGTTTAACATGAATGCCTCGCTCAGACACAGTTGACCTGACTGTTCATGACGATGATAACAAAATGTGTTTACAATCCACTTATCTCCTGGCAGGGGAAATAATGTAGCACTTAAAGAATGCATAAGTGATTAAGATCATGTACTTCGGTACCTCTGACTCAAACAACGACCCTCGCTGGTCGTTAAAGGATAATTTACGGATAGGGTTCGGGGAAGAGTTTGATTGCGTGTCAAATGTACCCCTACGACGTTGGACGTTGCTCATGATATCAGCCTCTGGTTTGTCGTGTTCATACACGAATGTTTACAGGCAGCTATTTTATAGCTGGAATATTGCTGAGAGCGGGTTTAGCAACAGACAAATCCTGTATGAACCCCGGGAGAGGCGATATGTCACTGGATGACGTCTGGCAGTGGCATTAGTTCTGAAGGACATCCACTCGAAGCCATAGCCACTGAAAGGTTAAGGACACAAATTTGAATCATCTCCCTAGTGTTTCTTGAAAGGCAATTTCCTCACCGATAATAACAGACATCTGCATGGGGCTCTATCCACGTCCGCAGTTTAAGGAAGCATCTTTGCCAGGATATGACGCTCACATTGTTACCTCCACACGGTGATAGTACATATTAAGTGAGCGAGTGAGTTGAGTTTAAAGCCGCTTTTAACAGTATTCCAGTTATATCACGGCGTGTCAGCTTAATGTGGGAGGAAAGCCCGAAGTGATGCAGGTCTCAGACGTTTACCACTTCTTGAAACCCACGAGCACGGGTATGGAACCTAAAAAACAAAATCGGGGCGAACCGGGATTCAAAGCCACAATTCCAGGTTTCTAGCGTGCCCGAGGCAGGTAACACAGCCAATTGCGGCGTCTTAGACGACTGGGCCACCCGTGACGCTGTTCTCCGAAGGAAAAGAGCCTGAACACATGAACATGGCATTTGTCAATGACATAAACAAGTCCAAGTCACAGTTGATATCGACAACAAATACTTTGTATTGATGAAACATAGTTTATTATTAAATATATCTCTTTTGTATAACAAGCAAATATATAACTTTGTAAAGACAACATGATAATATGAATCACTTCACAAATACTTCACAAATTGTGAGACAGTTCCTGGGCTGATGAGTAACATTGTGAGTGAGTGAGTGAGTGAGTGAGTGAGTGAGTGAGTGAGTGAGTGAGTGAGTGAGTGAGGGAGCGATCGAGCGAGCGAGGAAAGCCCGAAGTGATGCATATCTTAGACGTTTACCACTTCGGTGAAACCCACGAGTACGGGTATGGTGCTGACAAACCTAGAAACATAATCGGGGCGAACCGGGATTCGAACCCCAAATCATAGGTTTCTGGCGTGCCCAAGAGACGCAACTCTGCACAGCGAATTGCGGCGCCTTGGACGACTGGACCACCCGTGCCCCCTGTTACATTGAGAACGTGCTTCATCCACTGAATTTAACCAGGTCTTCTTGTCAACAGGCGGACACTTGAACCTCTAGGCTTCCGTCCCTCTCTGTTCTTCCTATGGGTTTTAAGGGCTATTGCAATTGTCATATGAATAATTCGTATGACGAAAAATGGCGGGGTCCATTTATTAATATCACCCCCATTTTATGACTTTATCGAACGCGTTAAAATGATTATCAAGGAGTTTTTTCCTTTCTAGTATACATGGAAAACAGTTTGACGCGGGTCGAGAACCAGGATGACAGTCGACTTCCAATGGGGCAGGCTATGTTAGTGTACAGACTCCGCTCCTTTGAACATCACTTGCAGCATGTAGAACGTCATTGTAGGCATACCCTTGGGTATATCTGTTTTGCAAGTTAACAGGAATCTCTTCGTTCAGTTATATAATTCAAGTTAAACAGGAATACTTTATATAACTATGAGTGAGTGAGTATGTATGGTTTTACGCCGCTTTTAGCAATATTCCAGCAATATCACGGCGGGGGACACCAGAAATGGGCTTCACACATTGTACCCATGTCGGGAATCGAACCCGGGTCTTCGGCGTGACGAGCGAACGCTTTAACCATTATATAACTGTGACACTGTGATTTACTTCTACATGTACACTAGTATTCAATTCAAACACATTTGTGTCGAACATTGATTCGTCGAACTTGTCTCGATGTACAAGCTTCGTCCCTGTGTATTCCTTCCTTATTCATCATTTTCGGTTGTGACGAACTTCGGATAACTTGATGAATTTACGTTGGTGCCTTCAACTTCGACTTATTTTGTATCCTGAAAGATTGCCTCTACAAATATTAAGGATTGATTGACCGTTAAAAAGGAACGAGAGAAGCATGACCTTATTTCCATGCACTCAGAGACCATTCAGATATGGCCATCGCCATGCTCCTACATGTTCTTTTGGTTTGTTTATTGGTTGTTTAATCCCAGATTAAAAGCCCAAGACTATGGTATATGATAATATAAATAATCTAGTCTGGGCCAGACAATCCAGAGATTGACATCATGAACATCGATCTACACAATTGGGATACGATGAAATGCATCAACCAAGTCAGCGAGTCTGACCACCTGATCCCGTTAGTCGCCTCTTACGACAAGCATAGTCGCTTTTAAAGGCAAGCATGGGTTGCTGAAGACCTATTCTACCCCTTCTAGATACAAACACAACCTTAGCCTGACCTCCGATCCCGTTAGTCGTATTCCAAATGAAGGCAGCGTTGTCAAAGTTAATTGTTGAAAAACAGAGCGTCTACTTCAGCGCCGTATTTATGAAACCTCAAATTTAATGTCATCTCACTTACAGTTGGGTGTTTTCGTGTTGTTAGCAACGGAAGTGTCAACCTAATTGTCTATGACAATACTGTCTCCACACTCTCAAAGCCACTGTCATCACTGAGAGGTATTTTGTAGCGGACTATTATTGACGTGCCTTGTGAGGTCCTACTCTTCTTCAAACAGCACATGTTCGTCATAGCCCGCCTGAAACCCTTACTCAGGAAACAATAGCACATCGGGTTGAGAGTCGAGTTAGAAATGCCGAGTAATTGCACTACGGGATATATATAATTGAGCACAGAGGTAGCATATTCCGACTCGACATTGAAGTCTAGCCAAATGTTGACAATGTAGTATGGAAGCCAAGAGAGGCCAAAAAGCGACACAAGGAACATCAGGTTCCTGACTGTCCGCCTCCTCTGACGTAATATCCGGTCTGCTTGAGCTTTACCGGAAGGTGCACTGTTGAAGAGCGTTACATCCTCCTTCCAAAGGGTAAATGATATTTTGATATATGTCCCGCACATGACAGCCAGGGGAAGCAAGAATTGAATTATAAACATGAACAAATTGTAAAACTGTTTGTCTTCAATCTCATTCCACTTCTCCTCACAGACCCTGGATTCAAATATTCCTGGAATTCCCCAAGTCGTAATCTCATTGACGAACAGTAAAGGCGATACCGCCCCGAAAGACACGACCCACACAGAAACAAGCATCATAACGACTTTCCCTTGAGTGAATAACATTTTAGCACGCAGAGGTATGTGTATGGCAAAGTATCTGTTGATGCTGATGAAGAGCATGCTTAGGACACTGACTCCAACAGCCGTCCCTTGGAGGAAGGTGGTGACCTTGCAGAACACCTCCCCGTACACCCAGTCTCTGTAGACGTAGTTGCCGAGAGTGATGGGGATACAGACACACACGACGAGGAGGTCACCGATGGTCAGATTGAGGAAGAATACGTTGGTGAGTGTGCGCATGCTCCGGTGCTTAGCAACCACTAGGATAACGAAGGTATTTCCCAGAATCCCCAGCACGAAGGTGAGACTGAAGAATATTATGAGTACAATGGTGAACGGTTCGTTGTGGCGGTATAGGTCATTTTCCAAATCGGTCAGAAAGTTTGAATAATCCTTCATGTTGTCATAGCTACCAAGGAGGTCTGTTTCGGAGTAATTGTCTGTGTGGTTTAAGAGGTCCCTCAGAAAGTTTTCACTCACAGGGTGTCCGTCTTTATCCGCCATCGTTGACCTTGATCATACAAGGAAACGGTCGAAGGTTAGAGGTCAAACGGCTTTTGGCCGCATCAAAAGGACTCCTTAGCCCGCTTCTTTAGCCTTCGATGATCAGCCGGTCAGGTGTATCTGAAACAGGTTTAGAATTTATTGGGCATGATATTTCCGTAGCGTACTTAGGAGGTAGACTACTGTATTTTCAACTTCGAAGATACGAACGTAAATTTCACAAACAAAAGCGACACCGAAGAGTTTTTTAGTTGAAAAAGATACAGGTAATTAACGACTCGGAGTTGGAAACCAACAACGTGAAAACTATTGTACATGCATTTTATGATTGTGACTAGGTTGCTCAGATGTAAGAGCTTGTTCTCAACTGGTTAACGACATCTGTGGAAGGAAGACTAGACTTCTGTAAAGAGAATATTTTATTTGGATTTAAGGGGGAAAATAACAACTCTCTCAATGTAATTATATTACTTTTTGAAATTTGAAACATATTCAACGTGAAGTAATTAGATACTACCATATGACCAAGTTAATTGCATTCTCAAATTGCAATTATACAGCTTTCTTTCAGTTCTGGCCTTCCTTCTTCGGGGGCGGTCGGGTAGCCTAGTGGTTAAAGCGTTCACTCGTCACGCCGAAGACCTGGGTTCGATTCCCGACATGGGTACAATGTGTAAAGCCAATTTCTGGTGTCCCCCCGCCGTGATATTGCTGGAATATTGCTAAAAGCGGCGTAAAACCATACTCACTCACTCACTCCTTCTTCGATCTTTCGATCCTAGCAAAGAATACTAGCACGATATCTTATTTTATCATTGTCTTTATTTGCACTATATCTCAAAAGTTTGATGTAAAGGGATTCATTTTTGAATAATGTATAAATGATGAAATGCTACACATTGTATTTTATTTGAAATGTGAATAAAGATTTTTAAATAATAATGAAAATAACGTGAAAACACATTTGGTTTCCCTTCATTCTACTGTGACCCAATGCCAAAATAAACTCGAGCTTTCAGTAATAGCGCCAGCACAAGTAGCATTGGTTGTGCCTAATATTTTCAGTTGATTCAAAGGGCGAATTCAGGTATCAGTCAAGATCGGTTTCAATCCACATACGGTAAACTACGGTTATGACGAACTCAAAGGGACCACTAACTTTACTTCGTTATAACCGTTGTTCGTTATAAGCATATGTACAGCATATACACAGCAAACGGCCTTGACAAAAAACCCAGTTCGTAATATCCGCCAGTTCGTTATAAGCCTGTTAGTTATAAGCGTAGTTTACTGTATATCATATGGTTGCGTTATGTACCCAAACCTTAATTGACCCTTTCTACTGGAACCACTTTAATGTCTAGCGCTTATTGGCTGCACCCATTATTCAAACCGGTTCGCCCCGATTATGTTCCTAGGTTTGTTAGCACCATACTCGTGCTCGTGGGTTTCACCGAAGTGGTAAACGTCTGAGACCTGCATCACTTCGGGCTTTCCTCCCACATTAAGCTGACACGCCGCGATATAACTGGAATACTGTTAAAAGCGGCGTTAACCAACTCACTCACTCACTCACTCATTATTCAAACTGGCATCCTTGGATATTAGTCTGGACTAACGTCTGTTTTATAGTACTAGCACCACAGTTCAACACGGATATGCATTCAGACACAGTCAACCAATACCTGTTTTAGCCCCATAATGCCGAGCGCCAGGCAGGGTAACAACAAGTACCATCTTTTAACGAGTTTACCTTTGGCGCAGCCTTGATCGAAACCCCAACCACCCGCTCTCCGGAAAGACGCTCTATCTACTAGACCAAAGATGCGGTCCTTTTAAAGGTGAATAAATAAATATTACCTTATAGTTCCAGCCTGTATGCTCACACAGAGGAGGGACTAACATATCATATGAGGAAGGAATGTTCACGCCCATAATGCACTGCGACAGTCACTGGTGCAAACACACTGTCATACCTTCCTTATTTGCTAAGTGGACAATAGACCGCCTCCGTGGTCTAGCGGTAGAGCTTCCGCCCGGAGAGCGGAAGGTCCGGGGTTCGATCCCCGGCCGTGTTAACCGAAATAGGTTAAAAGATTGTACGTGTTGTTACCCTGTCTGGCGCCCGTCATTAAGGGGCTAAAACAAGGACTGGTCGGCTCGGAGTCAGTATACTGTGTCTGAGTGGGGTATTCATGTTAAACTGCGGCATGGTATCTCAGTGAGCTAGCACTATAAATCGGATTCAGTCCGGACTAGTACATGCAGCCAGACACACACACACACACACACACACACACACACACACACGTGCATGCACGTCGCTGCATAAATGCAATGATCTTGGACGCAACGTCATCTCCCCTAACTGATAATATACCTTTTAACCGGAATGTAAAATATTGATCGTTTCGATCTGCAGTGACGTTCACCAAAAAATCGCGTTTACAGCTTGATATTTGACATTTGAGAGTTTCAGCTTTCGTTAAGTCGGTGCTTGACTGTGATAGGAAGATATATCATGTTGAAAATGTCACAAGTGAAAGTTGTATCTGCAAGCACCTGGAACCCAATACCATGGTCATATGTTCCTGCCGCTTCATAGGAGCTTTAGGCATAGACAGTACGTTTGTGTGGTTGCGATGGTATCAGATGATTCTTTTAATATTTTCCAGCTATATGACGATGGCCTGTAAATATTTGAAGTTTGACCAGACATTGACTGACAAAGTTAACAAAGATCATTCACACATTAAGCAGATTACATTAAACATTCAGCAGATTACATTTACATATTCAGCAGATTACATTTACACCTTCAGCAGATTACATTTAACATTCAGCAGATTACATTTAACAGTCAGCAGATTACATTTAACATTCAGCAGATTACATTTAACATTCAGCAGATTACATTTACATATTCAGCAGATTACATTTACATATTCAGCAGATTACATTCACACTTTCAGCAGATTAAATTCACACATTCAGCAGATCACATTCATACATTCAGCAGATTACATTCACACATTCAGCAGATTACATTGACCCGAGCCTGTATCACAGTGTGTCAGTTTCATCAGGGACCATGCACCACAAAGGCGGGAAGAAAGGCGTGACACTATTTTGGGCTACCATGTGAACAAGTCATAAAGAAGATCAGTAGGCCATTGGGGAGTAAGTATGATTTTACGCCGCTTTTAGTCATATTCCAGCAATATCACGGCGGGGAACACCAGAAATGGGCTTCACACATTGTACCCAAGTCGGGAATCGAAACCGGGTCTTCGGCGTGACGAACGAACGCTTTAACCACTAGGCTACCCGACCGCCTAAGTAGGCCATTGGAACAGATGTACCTGGGTATCTGATGTTAAGACCCATTGAGCTAAAATATCAGTCACATGACACGCCATAAGATTATTGTGTTATCTAACGCCAGCATGTATATCAATATGTACACCAGAATATCATTGAAGCACACTGACTTAGTTATCTAAGGTGAGAGTCTACTGGCCGACCATGATCATTGAAGCACCCGTACCTAGTTATAATCATCTAAGGTGAGAGTCTATTGGCCGACCATGTGTGTCAGTCATCAAGTACACCAGTAGATCATTGAAGCCCACGTACCTAGTTATAATTATCTAAGGTGAGAGTCTATTGTCCGTCCATGTGTATCAGTCATCAAGTACACCAGTAGATCATTGAAGCACACGTGCCTAGTTATAATTATCTAAGGTGAGAGTCTATTGGCCGTCCATGTGTATCAGTCATCAAGTACACCAGTAGATCATTGAAGCACACGTACCTAGTTATAATTATCTAAGGTGAGAGTCTATTGGCCGACCATGTGTATAAGTCACCAAGTACACCAGTAGATCATTGAAGCCCACGTACCTAGTTATAATTATCTAAGGTGAGAGTCTATTGGCCGACCATGTGTATCAGTCATCAAGTACACCAGTAGATCATTGAAGCCCACGTACCTAGTTATAATTATCTAAGGTGAGAGTCTATTGTCCGTCCATGTGTATCAGTCATCAAGTACACCAGTAGATCATTGAAGCACACGTACCTAGTTATAATTATCTAAGGTGAGAGTCTATTGGCCGACCATGTGTATAAGTCATCAAGTACACCAGTAGATCATTGAAGCCCACGTACCTAGTTATAATTATCTAAGGTGAGAGTCTATTGTCCGTCCATGTGTATCAGTCATCAAGTACACCAGTAGATCATTGAAGCACACGTACCTAGTTATAATTATCTAAGGTGAGAGTCTATTGTCCGTCCATGTGTATCAGTCATCAAGTACACCAGTAGATCATTGAAGCACACCTATCTAGTTATAATTATCTAAGGTGAGAGTCTACTGGCCGACCATATGGATCAGTCATGAAGTACACCAGTAGATCATTGAAGCACACGTACCTAGTTATAAGTATCTAAGGTGAGAGTCTATTGGCCGACCATGTATATAAGTCACCAAGTACACCAGTAGATCATTAAAGGACACGTATCTAGTTATAATTATCTAAGGTGAGAGTCTAATGGCCGACCATGTATATAAGTCACCAAGTACACCAGTAGATCATTGAAGCACACGTACCTAGTTATAATTATCTAAGGTGAGTGTCTATTGGCTTAACATGTGTATCAGTCATCAAGTACACCAGTAGATCATTGAAGCCCACGTACCTAGTTATAATTATCTAAGGTGAGTGTCTATTGGCTTAACATGTGTATCAGTCATCAAGTACACCAGTAGATCATTGAAGCACACTTACCTAGTAATAATTATCTAAGGTGAGAGTCTATTGGCCGACCATATAAGTCATGAAGTACACCAGTAGATCATTAAATCACATGGGCCTGGTAGGGTTCTCCAGCAGATCAATCGTCTCGTAGAGAAGCAGCCGTATCGGATCTATGTCTAATCCTGGTTTGCCATCGATGTGGATTAATAGTACTACATTTACAGCTTCCGTGGCTTA